AAATTTTGAATTTTGCACAGTACCTTTCAGACAAGCAGACTTATAACGACGGAAAGTAAAATGATTATCAACCCCATAAGACATGAATACAGTTCTAGTCATGGCAGCATTTTTCACAATCATTCTCTCCAACTGGACTTCCTGCCAACAGGTCAGCCTTGAGGATTTCTCCTGTACTGATGAACTACATATACTCTCCAAACTTCCTGACCTTTGTTACCATGTAATTCCTCATATATTTAGAATGGCTAGTAAAATTAGCCTACAGTCAATCACATTTTATTATATGCAATAACTAAACTTATATAACTCAGCCTCAAACTCCTCTTGTTTAAGAAATTCAATTCAATATAAATGAATTTGGTCAACTTGATGTTTGATACTCAGTGCATTTATTTAGTTTTTTTTTAGAACAAGAGATTCTTATAAGGCAAATGTAATCAAATACATTGAAGAGATTTTAAAATGTTAAAATAATAAATGGATAATCATAGTAACTTTTCTTAAAGAAACAAAAAAAATTAACCAAAATTATTCTCAGTTCTAGTGTGCTGATGACAACAATGACAACAGGTGAAATTTAAGAATTAAAACAAATGACTTAAAAAGACTTGGCAATTGTAGTTATAGGCTTTTGGAAAATTACGTATCTTCAGTTCAAAACTTTCAGTTTATAATTCAAAGAGAAGATGAATTAACCCTAAAATGGTATTTAATGGTATTTAATAAATATCAACCTATAACTGTTCTAAAAATAAAGTCAATCTATTTAATAAAAAAATGAAAGCAAAATAAAAGCTTTTTCAGATATACAACAGTTGAAAGAATTCATCATCAGCCAATCTACACTACAAGAAATGTAAAGGAGATCCTTTTTAGGCAGAAATACTGGTAAATACCAGATGGAAATATGCATTTCCACAAATGAGTGAAAAATGCCCAAAATGGTAGCCATATAGATAAATATGGAGTCCTTGTTATTTTAAAATATATAAATGATTGACTGCCTAAACAAAAGTAATAATTACCAATATAGTCCAAGGTTTATAACATACTTAAAAGTAAAAGTTATGACAAAATATTTCACAAAATATATAGGCTGAAACATTATGCGAAGTGGCATATCACTTGAAGGTATACTGTGAAGAGTTAAATATGGATGCAAAAAATCCTAAAGCAACCATTAAAATAATAAAGCAAAGTATCATAGCTAATAAGTAAGTAAAGGAAACAAGAGGGAATCATAAGTACTACCCAATTATTATAAAAGTAAGGATAAAAGCAGAAAAAGGAAAGAAAAAGCAAGTGTGACAATAGCAATATGATAGATTTAAATTTTATTAACAATAACATGAATATAAATGTTCTAAGAACTCCAAGTAAAGGCACATTTGGTCAGATTGACTACAAAAGCAAAACTCAATTATGTTCTTCATATAGGAAATGCACTTTAAATAAAAAGTCGCTAATATGTTAAAAACCATGACAAAAAGAAGTGATGGTTTTGTCATGGTAACTCTAATTAAAAGAAAGCTGGAGTGACCCTGTATTATTGGACAAAATTGAGACCAGGGAAAAGAATAATACCTGGGATAAAGAAGTTAACATCGAAAGATAAAGAGGTGAATCCATCAGGGATATCTAATGTGCTAAATAACTTTGCATTTAAGAAAAGTGCTTCAGAACACATTAAAAACTAAGTTGCTAGGAGAAATTCAAAAATCCACCAGTTCAGATAGAGATTTCAATACTCTTTTAAATAATTAATAGAAGAAATACACAGAAAAACTGTTAGTATATAGAAGACAAAAAAACCACTACAATCAACTTGACCTAATTGACATTTATAGAACACTTCACCCAGCTACAGAACAATACACATTCTTTTCAAATGCACAAAAAAATTACCTATATGTCATATTCTGCATCATAAAACATTATAAACTTAAAATTATTCAAGTGATACAACATATTGTTCCTGGCCATAATAATATTAACTCGAAAGCAATAAAAGATCTTAGAAAAATACTCAAATATTTGGAAACTAAATAACATACTTCTATTTAGAAAGTCAAAGAAGAATGTATGGTATATTAGTTGTATCTCTATGAAGTTGTTAAAAAATAATAAAAGAACATTATGAACAACTTCATGGCAATAAATGTGAAAACAGATTAGATGGGCAAGTTCCGTGAAAGACACAAACTAACAAAAACTAAGAAAGTTTACTCAAGAAGAAATTGATGACTTCAATAACCCTTTATCAAAAAAATTTCATCGATAGTTAAAAATCTATGCAGAAAGTAAATACCAGTCACGGATAATCTGGTGAATTGTACCAAACAATTAAGGAACAAACAGTCCAAATTCTACACAAAACCATCCAAAAATTTAACAAGAAAAAATACTTCCCACTCACAGATATTACAAGAAAAGTAGATTACAGACCAGTGTCTTTCATGATCATAGATGTAAAAATCCTCAACATAATATTAGTATATCAAATCCCACAATACATAAGAAGAATAAGCCCAGCCCACATGGCTCAGTGGTTGACCATCCACCTATGAACCAGGAGATCATGGTTTGATTCCCAGTCAATCCCCAGTGTGGGGTGTGCAGGAGGCAGCCAATCAATGATACTCTCTCATCATTGATGTTTCTCTCTCTCTCTCTCTCTCTCTCTCTCCCTTTCTCTCTGAAATCAATAAAAATATATATTTTTTTAAAAAAGAGTAATACACATGACCAAATGCAATACTTTTTCACAAATCAATGTAATCTACCATATTAACAGTATAAAGAAGAAAAAAATCACATGATCTTATCAAATGATGCAAAAAATATTGGACAGAATCTAACATCCATTTGTGATTTTTTTATATTTTTTTATTGATTTCATAGAGGAAGGGAGAGAGAGATAGAAACATCAATGATGACAGAAAATCACCGGTCGGCTGCCTCCTGCACACCCGCACTGGGGACCTAGCCCGCCATCCCAGGTATGTGCCCTGACTGGGAATTGAACCGTGACCTCCTGGTTCATAGGTCGACGCCCAACCACTGAGCAACACTGGCTAGGCCATCCATTTGTAATTTTAAAAATTTCAGAACTAAAATTAAAAGGAACTTCCTTCATATGTTAAAAAAAGCAACTAAAAATAATCTGCAACTAGCATTATTCTTAAAGGTAAAAGACCAAATAAAATACTCTCCACCTCAGATGAGTAATAAGACAAGGATGTCTACTCTCACTATTTCTATTCAATTCTATTCAACATTGTACTAGAGGTTCTAGGCAGTGCAATCAGAAAGGAAAAGAATGGAATGCATCAAGTTAGAGAGGAACTAATACAACTTTTCACAGTCAACATGATTGTCTATATAGAAAATCCATTGGAATCTAAAAAGAGGTATTAGTTTACTACAAGCAGATAAAAGATCTGAAATACAAATGTGAGAAACAATTGTATTTCTATATTCATCAGCAATTAATTAGAATTTAAAATTTAAAAAAATACCATTGACACCTAAATAAATATTTCTCCTAAGAGAACCTACAGATGCCAACAGATATATGAAAATATGCTCACCATCATTAATTATCAGGGAAATACTAATTAAAACCACAATGAGATAATATATTAATTTTAAGAAATTAAACTAAAAGCAAAGAGAAGAATGTTCCTATGCAAAGTTAATTTAACAGTAAATATTATAATCAACATCTGGGAATATGCCAGGGCTAGATTAAAATGCAATAATAATTTTTAATTGATTAGAGTGTTGAAAAGTTATAGTTCATTTATATTTACTTTTAAAAATTACTCTATCAGAAACACCTGCTTCATCTAATTAGGAATTCATAGGTCCTGCTATATTTATAAAAACTCATTACTTTAAGAAATCAAAATCTGGCCTACAACCTGACAATTATAATATTTTACTTCTGGTTATTAGCATATATTTTATAATTTTTATAGACATTTGGAAATGCAATTCTAATTTGTGGTTTTTTTTATTTGTAAGATTTATTGAGTATTTTGTGTCAGGGGAAATCTGATCCAAGCACCTAACATTTTGTAATATGTATTATACTTTAATATAGATAATTCAATTTATATGTTTAAAACCATCATTCAATGTAAACTGAATACAAATAAATTTCACCTGTTCTCACCATGTTTCTGTATTTTATGTAGATGGAGAATTGGTTATGCAGTGCATAGGAAAGATTCCCAAAGGTAAAATATAGCTGTCTTATAAATTTCCAGGTATTTAATATGTACTTTTTATGTAAAATATTTTGAGCTAGAGGCTATCTTGCCTCTATAAAATATAAAATATATTCTCTGCCCACAAAGGGTTTATAATCTAATAGAGGAAATAAGAAAAACACATACTAGTAAAATCTATAGAACGGATAAAAATTAGTAATGTAATAAGTGGCCAATGAGTAAGCTCTATGGGTTCAGAGGAGCTACTAGTAAAATGGTTCAGGATGGTTTCCAGATGCAGAGATGGAACTTTACCACATTTTACCATAATTGCCTACTTACTTGTCAGATTGCCTGGTACAATGTTAGTTCCTTGAAAGCAGAGATCCTGTGATGGTATAAGCTGAGCACTAAAGACATGGGTGCCCAGCTCAATCCTTGCATATAGCATGCACTCAATAAACAGTTGATTAATAAAATGTGAATAACACAATAAACCATAAGGGATTTAGGCATGTAGAATTTGAAAACACAAGACAATTCAATTTTTGACAGAGCTAAAAAGCAAAAGCACATGGTTGGGAAAGCAAGAGTGGATAGCCCAACTAGGTGGGTAATATGCAAGCAAAACCATCAACTGAGTTAGAATTGAAGTGGTTAATACAACCCCAATTGAGACTGAAAGGAATACCCTCAATTAGTGGCCTAAGAAGACCTAAGCCAAGGTATGGACAGTGGAGAAGGAAACTAGTTGTAACTAACACCCATTAAAAAGATCAAACTGTGCTCACCTTGGCAATGGGTATTAAAACTGGAATGACACAGAGAAGATTAACATAGCCCTTGAGCAAGGATAACATGCAAAGTAATGAAATGTTTCATTTTTTTTTAAAAAAAAGAACTTCCAACATTAGTTGACTGAGGTGAGAGGGAGCATAAAGTGTGGAAAGTAGGGATGACCAGTCTTCCAGTTGGGGCAACAGGAACTACATGGGGTGCCTTTTCAACATAGGATGGGAAATTAACATTGATAGTAAAATCATATTTTACTATTAAACTTAGATTTGTGTACATCAAACAAAAAATTTCAAGGAGAAAATGTGAAATTTTAAGGCAGACCATTGGAGAAATTAGAATTAGATATATTTTCTTATAGAAAACATAAATCAGGGCTTTGGGCTCAATCCAGAAGACTAGATCTGAGCTGTAGTAAATATCCGTAGCATCAGGGGCAACTAGAAAGAAAAGACCAATGCGAAAAGATGTTGGTGTTTTTTTTTTTTTGCTTCACCACCCACTTCCTCTTCTTTAATGCGACTGTCTTTGGGCACACACTGTATTTGCTAGTGAGAAATTATGACAGCGAGGCTGATGGCACTGATTCATAACACATTCTGTGCACCACACAAAGGAAATCCTAGATAACGGATAGTCTGCTTCCACAACAGAGCTGTCTTATGAAAGAACCGTGTATGGGGGGAGTGAAGGGAGAGACAGGGAACAACGAAGGCATCGAGGGCAAGCAAACCTACAAGTCTGTCTAAAAATTAGGAATTTGGGGGCAAAACCAGAATTACCTAAGGGTGATGGATAATCGTTGTTATAGTTCCATTATTTCCAGAAATTACTGAACTTGGAACCTGAGGTTAACACTTTTAAGATAAAGCAACCTCAAATAAATTCATACTGGCCTTGGGAGGAAATGGCAACCATAGATGGTAATGAGTTTCAGTGCTTGAGAACAAAAATCGTCAAAATCAACTTATACATTTGACTTGACCCAAGGTGAAAAAAAAGTCTTATTTTAAAAATGATAAGTTTGCAGCAAAAAAAAAAAAGTTTGAGAGTGCAAGTTTGAACCCCTTTTCACCTTCCCATTTTGCTGCTGGTACCTGCTTTCCTCACAGTACCTCCTGAAAAGGTTTAGAGTTCAATACAGACTGATTAGGTTTACACACATTTACGATGATGAGTCCTGTTTGGTTTAACCACTCCATTTAACACCGTGCTGATGGCAGCCCTGAGAGTCTGCAGTGCTGGTAGAATCCACCTCTGAAGCTGCTGGTGGGAGCACAGGATGTTGGAGCACTTAGGAGGCTAAAGAGTGGTCTTCAGGAAAGGATTGATCATGGTGCAACTACCAGAAGATTAAAGAGAAACATCTGCTCTCTGTGGAAGACATTGGTAAACTTTAAGACTATAATTCAGGGGTAAACATTAGGTTCCTAAGTTTAAAGAAGGACAAATAGTAAAGAATTTGATTCAACATAATATGTATATAGTACTGCCTCAAGAAATATAAAGATAACAGAATTTTAGTGCTTAGTGATAACAGCAGAAATAATGGGGACTTGTGTGTGTGTGTGTGTGTAAGACCAGACAAGGAAGGGATACACAGATGAGTAGGAAATGATGCACATTTTAAACACAAGAAAATATACTAACAACTAGTGGCCCAGTGCATGAATTCATGCACATTGAAAGGAAATTAATTAGAAGAAATATTTTAATATCGCTATTCACCCTTTCTCTATAATAGAAGTGTCAACCAAATTCACAACCAACAATGACAGATGGAAACACACGCATGCGATTGGCACCAGCAAGAGCTTTATATGTATCGCGCGTGCGTGGGTCAACTTAGCCTTTTATATACTAGTATATAGAATAAATTTGCTTAATTAGACTTGCTTTCTGATATAGCTAAACTTTTTCTAGCCCAGTAAAGCACCCCAACTTCTCTTTCAGGTAATTGTCAGCAACACAGCAGTAAATATCAACACAAAGCACATTATTATTCCAGAGCACACAGGGAGAACAAAGGGTAAAACATTTAACTGCAGCAGTGTTTGACTATATTCTGTGCAGTGAGAAAATCTGAAGTCACTTTCAAGGTCTACCATTTCTTACTTCTTTTCAGTTGGGTCAAGTTTCTAAGTTTTCTAAATCTCCATTTTCTGGCTAATGGAAAGAAAATAGGATTCCACCGAGTCTCCTATCTACCTACTCCAGGACTTCTGTGAGGATCAAATGAGACGAGGCATGGGAAAATGCTTCACAGACATTTGGTTACAGTGTAAAATGTTTCCACCTGGCTATAAAGCACATCGTGTTCCTGGGCTGAAGAAACTGCAAGGAGGCTAGTCACTAGGGAGAAGAAGCCGAGCGTTGCTACGTGACGTCATTACCTGGATGGACACTTAGCATATTAGCCTTTAATATATAGAGATAACAACTCAAGAGGAAAATAATCTAATTGGCAAACTACATAACCAGATGATGACCTTTTGAAAAGTATTTCCTCAACATCTTATTGAAAAAGACCTGCTCTGTCCAAAATGACAGCCCTTAATAAACACATTTGGCTATTTAAATTTAATTAACTTAAAATAAGTTTAAAATTCAGTTCCTCATTTCAACTGCTCTTGACTTTCCCAGATTGTTCACTAGAGTATGAGTGGCAAGAGAGCAAGAGTTTGGCCATTAGTTCATACTGCTATATTAGCAGCGCCTAAAGAGAGTGCCTAGAACTTATTAGATAGTCACTCAATGTTTGCTGAATGAATTAATGGGCTGCATTCCAGGAGAACAATGTTTCTCCAACTTCAGCACACATCAGAATCACTTGGAACACATCCAAAACATAGATTGTTGGACCTTACCCCTAGAATTTCTGATTCAGTAGTTCAGGGGTGTGGCCCACGACTATGCATTTCTAACAAGCTACTACATTAATGCTAATGCCACTGGCCTGGGAACCACATTTTTAGAACCACTGCTATAGAAAATATCTCTTTAAACTTTTCTCTTGCTTCGATAGCTCCTGCTTCAAAAACGAACACTGTACTAGGCAGTTCTTTTGTATGATACTTAATGCACCTTATTGTTTATTTGACAAATAATCTTCTTATGGTATTATAGAAACATTTCAGCTTGAGTTTAGATTACTCAAAATTCAGACACTTTTCCCATCAATCAAGCCAAATATTTACCAGAAGCATTTTTCTCCCTGCCAAGAGAAGCTAGAATTCCACATTAGCAGCTCAGCATACTACTCCTCCAGCTCATATTTGCACATTTGGAAGAAGGCTGCGAAAATACACACTATCTCTTCACTGCATGATTGCTCCATGAAGCATGTCTGCCCCCAGAGAAATCAGGTGCCTCGTGCACTGCAGAAATTTATGTGAAAGAAAGTCTGTTTATGAGAGACGAATGTGTACCCAAATTTATCTCCCAGTGACAACTTCAGAATCTGAAAATTTCCAACTTCTCCCCTTGTGAGTTCCCTGAAATTGCTGTTTTTCAAGTCAAGAACACCTGTTTAGTGTTTTTCTCCTCGCCCTCCCTGGTAAACAGAGCTGCTAGGAAAACAGCATCTGAAGGTTTTAATGAATAAGAAATACAAAGTATTGACAGATTTCAGCACATTATACAACCCTGACCCTGTCCCCCTAATGAGGGAAGATCAAAAAGGAGGAAGGCAGTTGTGCTGCTGGGTTCTGAGTTTGTTTTTAAACTGCTTCTAATGAGCTCAGAAAAAGGATCATCCTACTGAGTACAGTCAGAAGCAATTTGCATGTTGCTGTGAAATAACATATACAGACATGACTTTGGTAAGTGAACAACTAAAGGTTTGATGTTCAGCATCAGGCGCCCTTCCAAATAACTTTCCATCTCAGCTACATGACACTCTAGCAATCAAATTTCCACTTGGGCTAAGTCTCACTATACTAGTATATGGTGTCCCAAAAGAATGTATAAACACACTTTGAATAATTATAAAGGCAGTGATTATTAAAAGACATTTCATTTTCAAAATTAAGCTATCAGCTGTTAAAGTGTGTTCACTATTTGGGAGAAAAGGGGGAAGACCAGAAAAACATGTGAACATAGAACAGCATGACAAAAAGATGTAGAAATACATATACTTTGACACCATCAGTAAAAATGAAAAAAGGCAGAAATTCACTGAATAGAACTGAGAGCTGCTGATTGCTATGTTTAGGAATTAAAAGTCAACAGCTGGCCTAGCATCAGGCACCATGTCTCCCACCCTTACAGTCTGGCCTCTGCTCACCTCTCCACGCCAAACATGCAATGAATGTCTTAATCTTACAACTTTCCTCCTTCCTCACTCTTCCCCTCTCTCCAACTGCCTTTCATCCATATTCAACTCATCCAACAAAGCTCCCCTTAAAATTTTTTTCCAGGTAAATTAACATCTTCTGCCATCCTCTCTCAGATATCATGGGTGGGTACCACCACCACCACCACCATCAGCACTGTTCACGTCACACTACATGCTAATTGCCTTGTGTCAGTCTCTCTTACACTGCAACAGTCCTGCCTTCAAAAGTTTGTGTTCACTGTTTTGGGGGAAAGAGGGAAGAATGAAAAGAGGAAATAAGGAAAGAAACCTTCTCACACAATACATTGTTCTGCCTCTGCATTCCTTGTCCAGTTTTCATCACAGCAAGTAGAACGGATAAGTGTTTTGTGGTTTAAACCATTTGGGTCTTCATCTACCACTTCCTTAAGAAACCCAACCGCCATTAACAACTTTCCTCTTCTGGACTATCAAATTGTTATTTGATTTTTGTTGATGTACTATGAATACATCCAACCTTACCCACTCATCTCTAATGAGAACGGTGTCCTTGGTTGGCAATTAATTGAGGCTGCTCAACGATATCTATTTTTCTTCTATTTGTAGAAATGGGTAGGGGAAGGAAGAAATCGGTAAGTATGCCATTACTACTAAAAGTTTTTCTTCTAGAACTCCTATCCGTAACACATCTCATCGGACATGGGGACCATTTTCTCCAGGCCAATCAGGTCATTGGTACTGAGTTTCTCTTCACAGCAAGGTACCCTAATAGCATTTT